GTGACACATGCCTGTAATCCCAGCATTCAGAGGCTGAGGCAGGAGGATCGCTGTGAGTTCGAGACCAGCCTGGGCTAAATAGTGAGCTCCAGGTCAGTCTCAACTACATAGTGAGACCCTGTCTCAAAAAACAAAAGCAAAAGATGTGAGGAGGATTTATTTGAGGTAGACGTAGTGAAACATGACTGTGATACAGGACATGCAAATAATCTAAATAATGTAAGAATATTACAACTTCCAACCTGCTAGATATCTGAAACATCAAGTTTGTGTTCTGTAAAATCAAAGAATGAATTCTAGAAACAATGGGGATTTAGAGTAGGAAGAGTTTATTGAGAGAAAAAAAGCACCAAGAGAGACAGAAAGGGGATGGGAGGTGAGTTGTCTGACTACTCTGCTTCTCCAAGGTGTTTTATTGAGCTAAGCCGGAAAGTTCAAAGCGGAACAAAACTATAGTCAACAAAGATTTCAAGTATAGTCCCTTAAGGTGGTATTGATCCAATGGGAAATCATGAGGTGTGAAAAAAGTGATCAACCAATAAGATTATAACAAATATAGTCACTTAGATAATGTTGATTCAATGGAGATCAGATTCAACTGGGTAAGCTACCCTGGCATGATGGCATGCCTGTAATTCTGGCACTTGGGAGGCTGAGGTCGGCCTGGATTATATAATTTGAAACCTGTCTCAAGAAAGAAAATCCACAGGAAGTTAGTTTTCTAGTGAGGGTTCATGGAACCAACTAGCCAGAAGGAATGGGCTACAGAGGTTTTGGTCCCCGCCCAAGAGGCTTGATACCCACTTATCACTGCTGTTCTTCCCTAGGGGAAGTATGTGGGTGGACTTTTTTGAATGCTTACTTCAGTAAATGAGCCTCAGGCCACAATTGTTTTCTGTGCTGAGGCCCTAGCCCTGCCTAACTGCCTTATAATATTTTTTAACTAGCTTAGCTGTCTACAATAATAGGACACACCTGAGCCAAGAGTAGGTGTTCAAGAAATGAGGCACTGTGTACAGTTGGGAACTGGGGGTCATTTATGTGTTTTTGGAGGTGGAAATCTGGAATTGAATAATCGGTTAGTTTTGGTGGGTGAGGATGAATAACCCAGCCCAAGGGGGTCTGTTCTTAGGAGAAAAGCGAAAAGGGTGGCTCCTTCATGGGTGAAAGGATCATTTGCAAGTAAAAGTGAATGGGCAGACCCTTCTGCAGCTGAAAGGGAGAAGGGAAAAAATTAAATCTGAAGATCTTTTTTTTTTTTTTGGTACCGGAGATCAAACTCAGGCCCTTGTGCTTGCAAAGCAGGTGCCAGAACCACTGAGCTAAATCCTGGGCCCTCTAGTTTTTCTTTAAAGTACATTTGTAAAAGTACATTTGTGGGGGGTACTGGGGATCAAACTCAGCTCCTTGCACTTGTGAGGCAGGCGCTGGAACGAGCTAAATCCCTGGCCTAAAGTACAATTTTTAAAATCTCGATTTCCTAGTCTTTCTACTTAGCTTTATTTCTGAGATGCTACCTCATTTAGTCATCTTCCTGGTAACAGGAGGGTGGTGATGGTGGTAGGGTAGGAAAGCTGATAGAGACAAAAGCTGCCAACAGAGAAAGGGTGATTTTTAAAAATTGTTTCTGGCCAGGATTTAGCTCAGTGGTGCCACTTCTTGCCTCAAAAGAGCAAGGTCCTGAGTTCGATCTCCAGTACCAGAAAAATTTGTACTCTTGGGTTACACTGGTTTGTGGGGATAATGGGAACAGTTGGAGAATACAGTGACTCTTTGTTCAAACTACATAACTTTGCTTCTAGGTGCTAATCGGGTTAAAGGGCAGAGGGTTTTCCTAGCATGTGCATGGCCGTGGGTGTGACTCCAGGACCACACACACAAGAAGATAATATATGCTTAGTTTTGAAATTTGGAAAAGAAAAATAGGACCAAGATAATTTACCCAAAGACAAATAAAAAAGAGGTAGAGTTAATTTCTAGCTCTGGAAACCTGGTGTGATAGTATAGTATATGTCTATATGTAGTTTAGCGACTTGGGAGGCTGTGACAGGAGGACTACCACCTTGCCACTGAGCTACATTCCTGGCCCTTTATTTCTGTTTTGAGATGGGTTCTCACTTAAGTTGCCCAGCTGGCCTCAAACTTGAGCTAAGCCTACCTCAGTCTCCCAAGTGGCCAGGAATATACATACATACATACATACATACATACATACTGTGTTGGCTAGACAGCGAGACCCCATGTCTTAAAAAAAAGCATCCATTCTGTTTATACAATGTAATAGTTGTATTTGTAAGGAATATAGTTAATGAATACCAAACTACACAAATGTTTAAAGTAAAAACTTTTTTGGTTCAGTATTGAAGGTTGAACCCAATGCCTTCACATTGAGCTACATCCCACCCACCCACCCCCCTTTTTCTTTTTTGGTACTGGGGATCGAACTCGGGTCCCTGTGCTTGCAAGGCAGGCGGTGGAACCACTGAGCTAAATCCCCGGCCCAACCCCCCCTTTCACTTTTTGAGTCCTCTCACAAAGTTGCTAAATTCCCCAGGCTGGTCTTGTACTAAAATCTTCCTGCCTCAGCTTCCCAGCATTTTGATATTATAGGTTTTCAGCACCATGCCCAGCTCCATCTCCTTTTCTTTCTCTGGAAGTTATTCAGAGTAGATTGCAAAATCCCATTTCAATATCAGGTGTAGTTGTAAAGAACTGTAATTCCAGCATTTGGTAGGTAGGGTGAGGTAGGAGGATTACTGTGAATTGGAGGCCATCCTGGGCTCATATGTGAGTTCAAGGTCAGCCTCAAACTGCATAGGAAGACTCTCAAAAACCCAACTCTTTATGACTTGAAAGTGAGGTGAAGTTGTTAGTTTTAATTACTATTTTTTGTGGGGAACCCAGAGGTGCTTGTGACTGGTAGCAGGGAGTCACCATTTGCAGAAGGTGGGTGTGGCCACTAATTAGGCAGCCCAAATGGATTGGTTGATAGCTGCTTAGACTGCCCTCTTGTGGGGAGAGTTAGCAGATGAGGTTCAGCACGAAGACATAAGGATGGAGGTAGTAGAATGTGTGAATGTGTGCTGGATTTTTTTATTTTTTTAAAGACAGGGTCTCACTATGTCACTCAGGCTGGTCTTGAACTCACAGCGATCCTCCTGCCTCAGCCTCCCATGTGCTGGGAGTACAGGCGTGCGCCACCATGCTCACATGTGCTGGATTTTTGAACCCAGTCTTCCATGATTGTGTATTGGTCTCTTGCTTCCCATGAATGCTAACCACTATCCCAGATACTTTTCATATATTTGAGAGTTAATCCTTTTTTGTTTATTTTGAGGTAGTCTTACTGTTTCAGGCTGGCCTTGAAGTTGCGGGGGATCCTCTGCCTTCAGCCTCTTAGAGGGCTGGGATTACAGGCCTGACAGTTAATCCTACCTTTTTTTTTTTTTTAGGACCATTAAAGTACTTAAATACTTTAATGAGATTTAAGGCCTTCAATGCAGGGGCAGTTCTGTCTTACTGAGGTATAGTGTTTAGCATCTTTTTTTTTCTTTTTTTTGGTGGTAGTGGAGGTCGAACTCAGGACCTTGCACTTACTTGCAAGGCAGGTACAGTGCTACTGAACTAAATCCCCAGCCCATAGCATTTTGTTCTTGGGATGGTTTGGCACCTTGGTGTACCTGAAAGCTGTTTTATATGGGCTCCAGCCATTTCTGTTGGGATCCTTGGTGTTTCTGAAAAGCCAGTTTTAAGTGTGAGTGTAAGTATGTCTGAGTGGACATCTTCTGTCCTGAGTTGCTGATATGAGTAGTGGTATAGGCTATGAGGCCTTGTTCTTTTGAGTTATCCTAAACAGGAACTGGACTTTTTTTGTTTGTTTTTGAGACAGGGTCTCACTATGTAGTTGAGACTGACCTGGAACTCACTATGTAGACCAGGCTGGACTTGGACTCACAGCAATCCTCCTGCCTCAGCCTCCTGAATGCTGGGATTACAGGCGTGCGCCACCACACCCGGCCAGGAACTGGACTCTTAAGCACCTACTGGCAAACTTGTGACTGGCTCTGGCCTAGCGTTTGTTTTCATGATGCCTGTTCTGCAGCTTTAGCTAATATCTGTAATAGTCAGATGAAGAGATCAGAACAGTGGCATCTGGGCTTCCCATTTAGTACTTGCTCAATATACCCTGTTCCCAGAGAGCTGGTCGCATAATCTGACATCTGAGGCTGCAGTATCCTTGCACCAAAAGAAGCTTGCCTGTCTTTGGTTGAGCAAATGAGACTCCTATCAGACTTTGGTTTTCTATACTAGCAAATGGAAATGGAAAGATCAGATTAGTTCTTTTGCCTCATTTTTCTCAGGCCAGCCCAACCCCCAGTGGTAGTTTGCAATTTTTAGGAAAGGTTTAAAGACTGTACTTTGTGCCTAGTTGTGAACGGTTCAAAAGCTGCCTTTTGCTTACCGATGGGGGTAGAAAGAAGATAATTACTGAAATAAGCAGGGCTTTTTGGAGAGGTCCTGTTCTTCTGTAGTTTGGCATAATAAAAAATTGCTGAGACTGGCTGCAACTGCTGCCAGAGGGGAAGCACAAGGTATTGTTTTGTTTAGTGTTAGCTTTTTTTTTCTTGGTATGAGGATCGTGCTCAGGACCTTGTGCTTGTGAGGCAGGTAGCAGCACCGCTGAGCTAAATCCTGCACCATCCTCCTTTTGATTTGTTGGTTTGACAGAATAACTTTGAGCTGAAAAATACATAATTTAAGTTGCTGTTTAATTGTGGCACATGAATAAATTAGATATAAATATGCCTGGCCGTGAAGATTAAATTATACTGTTTGTAAAGTAATTAACATGACACTAAAAGGCTGAGTGAGATTGCAGGGGTTTCTTGTACCTGAGACTGTAAGGCTCCGATTGGTTATGAGACAACCCCACTGTTGACAGGAAGAGTGGCACACACCACTGAGCAGGTTATTAATTAGTTGTTCCTTCTCTTGCAGTGTGCCCAGCTGGGTGGAAACCTGGCAGTGATACTATCAAGCCTGATGTCCAGAAGAGCAAAGAATATTTCTCTAAGCAGAAGTGAGCACCGACTGGGCCATGAGAATAAAAGCTCTTTTGTAATTTTTTTTCATGCTTTAAACACAAGGTGTATGGGGCACTATGTCTTTCCTGTAGGAGTTGGGAAAACCCTTTCATCTTTTCTTCCACTGGTAGTAATGGCCTGAGCTGTGCTGTGGGGTAGACCATCTGTTAATGTTTGATATACCAGTAGCAGGGTGTCTCCCCATTCAGTGACCTTTTGTAGTGTCTTAATAAATTTGAACTGAGACCTTGATTTTTTTTTTTTTTTCTGAAATAATAACCTTGGGTTTTCCCTCCTTCAGGGAAAGAATGAGAACTGCCTCAGAATCAGAATTATACTGGGGAGATACAAGTAGACCCAAGGAACTGAAATATGGTGTTTTTTGTTTTAACACACCTGGGGGAGAAGAACAAGCCGTACTCTAGTGTTGGCCAGGGCAGTAGGTGTACACAATAGATAGGTTACTTGGACATCTACATTTTCACAACTGGGAGTGCTGCCTGGGAACCAGAAGCTTGGCCTCTTCAGATCCCTGTAAAAGAAGAGAACTGGAGGCTTTTTTTTCCCCTTTGGAACTAAAAGGGAGACGACAGCAGCATTGGTAGCCTTGGGTAGAACTATAATTGTGAAGTTAATCATTTGTCCTCTTTGTCCCCTTGGGTGTCACAATTTCCCTCACGTAATTGTCATTTTATGAACCACTCTAGCCAGTCCACCCCTCCACTTAACACACTGACTGCAACTAGCCAGCATACATGTGCCATGTTTCAAAGTGCTTTACATACCATTTATTCAGTCCCTTCAACTCAGGTGATCACTACAGGATGGTTGCCCCTCAGGCTCTAATTAGTTAACCTTAGGTGCGCTACATAGAACTAACAGGCAGAGTCCCATGCTCCGAGGCAGGTGGAGGTTTCTGGATGTTTGGGTCTTCGACTCTTGAAAACCTGGCAAGTTCCACCATAAATGGGATCCTACAGGGGATGATGGGATCAAGGGCCAGGGGATGCAGGTGGTGAGGCACTGGGGCTGAGCCAGCTTCGGCCTTTGTGGGTATTCTCTGGCTCCTTGGTACACTTGGTAAAGAGTTCAGGGAATTTGCTAGGTTCCTCAGAGGGCTGAGCTAAACCTAACAGGGCCAGACGTTGGGCAGGTGGTGTGGAAAAGTAGGCCTTTTGTTCTTCAGAGTATCGCTCCTGGGGTGTCACAGCATCCCTGTAAGTCCAGTCTTGCCAATGGAAATTGAAGCCTTCAAGCAGGGTAATTCGGTCAGCTCTTGCAGGTACACAGTCGGGAGGCTTTCTGGGTAGCAGACCTGGTACTTCAATCCCTGGCAGTAATACCACCCCTCGGATGGCAAACCAGCCTCCAAATCGGGGGTGTATGCACACGCCTGCTATGCGCTGGGAAAAACATGAAAGGTCATGGAAATTAACTTGGCACCCAATCCAACTGTTCCTACAAGTTATCCTTGATTACTTAACTCCCACTCGGTGTATATGATTCCACAGGCCTCGTCACTCCCCCACCCTTTGCTGCAGTACTAGAGGTTCAACTCCGGACCTTTTCTGCTAGTTTAAGTGCTTTACCATTGTGCTAACCCTTCACAGATCCCTTTAAACTGTGGGACAGGGTCTTGCTAACTGCCCTGGCTGGCCTAGAACTATCTTGCTTAAGCCTCCTAAAAAGCTGGGGTTACAGTGTGCCCCTGTGCCCAGCCTGGACAACACTTGCATAAACTCATTCTGATTATAAGGAAGCGTTCCCTTAGGCTGAGCCTCAGTCTAATTCCAGTTTTACCACTGGTCTCCTGATTATGGCTGTCTCCATCTTCTTTTTGTGGGGGGGCGTTGGTATGGGAATTGAACTCCGGACCTTGTGTTTGCAAGGCAGGGGGCAGAACCACTGAGCTAAATCCCTGGCTCTGTCTCTCCATCTTGAGAGAGCCCTGTAAGGCAGGGTTTTAAGAATAACAGACCAGGTTTTCTTTTTCGAGACTCCTCTCACTGTATTTCAGGCTGACCTTGAACTCACTAGCCCAGGCTGGCCTTATGGTGATCCTTCTACCTCAACCTCCCAAGTTCTGGGATTAGACCAGGTTTTCTGACCTGATGTGATGGGGCTGGGTCCCTGACCAGGGCATTACTGCTTTGTCCTACATTGTATATCAGCATATCCAGAGAAGGTAGAGGTATGTAGGACCAAATGGCACTATTTTGAGGAGTCGTTACCTTTTCCCTCAATACACTACCTTTCATACACACTTGCTTTCTGACCTGGGATCCCCATGGGTCAGCCTCGATGTCTTGTCGTTGGTAGTAATAAGCAGCCCCTGCTACGTGGGCTGCTGTCTGGGCAAGGATCTTAGGACGCCGATTGGGGTGCACCTCGTAGTCAGCAATGACTTCCACCTGCAGCTCTGGAAGGCTCTGAAACAGAAAATAGAGGCTCCTGTCAGCCTAAGGGCAACTGTCATTTTTGTCCTGGAGCCCTAATTTGTGTGTTTGCTAACATGGTACTGTCCTCAGTCCTGTTTGAAGGGAAAACATGACCTTTATGTGGGAGATTCCAAAGTGAAGAAAGTTATAGATCTTTCCATGAGGACCCATGTTTGATGGAAAATGCACAAGGTCTTGTTCAGTAACCTCTATTGTGAACAGTGATTTAGCCTTACCTTTCAGAATCTCAGTGTGGCAACACCCACCATGTGTACAAATCTGTGTATATGTGAGTTTGTGGTGGTGAAACATTGCTTCTCTAAAGGCCCCAAACACCGCATAAAGCTTGCAAATCTAGGGTAAAGCAGGAGAGAAATGCCTTGAGGATGTTGGGCTCTTTCCTATTCTGCCGAGGTGATGACTGCCACCAAGTTCAAATAGTTGCCCATCAGTGTAGGGTGAGAGACTAATTTCATACTGGAGATCTGCTAAAGAGAAGGGGTAGTACCTGGCTATGAGAAGGCAGAATGGGGTAAAACCACAGAATGTCAAAGCTGGCTTTAGGGCATCATTTCACATTTGAAGCGGCTCCAAGCCCTATGTCTAGATCTTAGTTTGAGCTCAGTGAAGATGGAAGCAGGTGTGAGTTTCAGGGCTGGGGAAAACTGAACCCTGCTCACCTCTGTAACTCGCCTCAGGTGGTAGGCCACACACTGATCCACAGGGTCGGTCAGTGGCTGGAGGTGGCAGCTCTGCAAGAATGGTTTGAGGGCCTGGTCAAACATTGCAGGTGTGCTGAGTACCAGGAAGGCCAGGGTAGGTCCTGGCAGGGGCAAGTGGAAGGCTGAAGGCAGGAGTTCATTGTACCAGGCCACCTGGAATAGAAGGAAAAGTTCAAGCCAGGCCAGAGAGCCAGCTTAGGCCTTAGTCAGGTCCATACCTTTGTCTAGTATTCAAGATTCATACATTTTGCCTCAGCTTCCATCTCACTGAATAAATTTGCACTGATGCTGTGTAATATATGTACATTCTATTGTATAGGCAACTCATCCAAATTTGACAAGGATTTAAAAGAGAAAGAGGCAGAGGGCCTGGGATGTAGCTCAGTTGGTACAGTACTTGCCTAGCATATTCAAACCCCTGGGTTTAATCCCCAACACTACAAAGTAGAATAGAGAGGCAAAGAGTTCATAAACTAAGAACAATGGAAATCAATCATACTATGATTAATACAATGACAGTCCTCTGAAATTAGAAAAGGTTTCTTAGAAATTCAGTCTTGAAGGCTGGTAAGGAAACAGGGCTGACATAGGGAGGGAGAAACTTCTGGGCTTGTGGTGGGGGGTGGTTTGAGATGGTCTTACTATGTAGTTGAGGCTGAACTCAAAATAGTGGTGATATTCTTGCCTCTGCCTCCTGAGTGCTGGGATTATAGGTAGGCGTCACCTGGCAGTATTAAATTTTGAGCATTTAAAAAATACATAAAATACATGCTGAATGTGGTGGTGCATATCTGTAATTGCAGCACATGGGAGGCTGAGGCAGGAGGATAAAGAGTCTGAGGGCAGCCCGTATGTGTGTGTGTGTTTTCATGTGTGTGCCAGGGATCAAACCTGGAATCTTGAACTTGCAAGGCAGGTGGCAGCACCACTGAGCTAAATCCCTGGCTGTTCCCATCTATATTATTAACATCTATCCCTTTAACAATATTTTAAATCTTTTTATTAGTGTATGTTTGCAATACATAATAGTTCTATTCACTTTCAGGAATTGGTACCTATATAGCATATCTACATTTTCAATCCCTTTCCTCCTCACCCCCATTGTGTATTTTTTTTGGTACCAGGGATCGAACTCAGGTCACTGCACTTGCAAGGCAGGCAGCGGAACCACTGAGCTAAATCCCCGGCCCCCATTGTGTATTTTAAACAGAGGTTACAGGATAAGCAAAGGTACAGGTAGAAAAGTACTGAGCATATATGGAGAAGAGCAACTAGTTTAGCTGGAAAGGGATGGATTTGGAAGATTCAGGAGAGAAAGATCTTGCTGGTTGACTTGATGTAGGTTTGGGGAGGTGAGGAATAGGAGATTAGAATGACTGGGAGGGCTGGAGCTGACTGTTCAGCACAATAGCTCTTACTACCGACATTACCTGACTTTCCAGACAGACATTCATTCTCACTCTCTTCCACCTCTGCCATGATCACTATTTCCATACAGAATTTTGGGATGTAGATACTCCTTCTTCCTTCTAATCTAGCTTTTTTTTTTTTTTTTTTCCCTTTTCTTTTTTTGAGACAGTATCTGGCTGTGTAGTTCAGGCTGGGCTTGAACTCACTATGCTGCCCAGGCTGGCTTTAAACTCGCAGCAATCCTCCTGCCCCGTTTTTTTGTTGTTTTTTTCAAGCAAGGTCTTGCTTTGTAGTTTAGACCGGCTGCAAACTCATGGTGATCCTCCTGCCTTAGCCTCCCAACTGCTGGAATTACAGGCCTGTGCCACCGCGCCTGGTGCAGCTTTTCATAGGTAGCTCAGTTTCAACCCTCCACCGTTTTTCCTCTAGTACTGAGGACTGACCATGATAGTCAAGTGCTCTACTACTGAACTACATTCCTAGCCCTTAAATTCTTTTTTTTTTTTTCCTGTCACTTTCTCAAGCTACATCCAACCTATTTCACACTCTGTACTCTGTGCAGCCCTGCTGTATCCCTTTCAGTGGAATGAGTAGCAAATAAGGCTGCCTCTTAATTAAGCACCAAGCAAAGAATTCACACCAAGTCGATTTAACTTTGTATTTTAAGTATATAGCTTAGTGCAGCCAGCACTGATGTGGGGAAATGAACTTATGTAAAAAGGCCGGAGGTGGGGTAGGGGTGGGCAGCCGAGACTTCTGTGCCAGGCGGGTGCTTATAATTTCTGTATTCACCCAGCACTGTCGGTCAGCACCATGATGAATTACCCTTCTGTTGGTGCATGGAACAAACCAGCCAATTGTTTCTTGTTCAAGACCAGGAATGCCCTTCCTGTCTTAGTTAACCTAAATCATAGCCATGCCAGTCTTTCACGTCTTGTCCTTTCCTAACTCCTTTAGGAGCTTTCAAGGTGATTCTGACCCCATAGGTACCTTTCTTGTAAGTTACGCAGGTAACGAAACCACATAGGTTACAGGATCGTATCGTGGTAAAAGAATTCATATAAGGTTAAAAGGCAAACGTACGACCTCTTCTCTTTTTTTTTTTTTTTTAAACGCGTGTCCCCGCGGACACACAGTCCTAATATTTAGACACCCCAGAGAAGTCTGGGTAGGATCAGAAGGCTCCCGGGGCCTCAAGCCAGTTGCACCGAGGTCAATCGCACACCTCACCCTGGAACCGCTGGAGGAGTAAACCAACCTGAAAGGGGTAAACCTCGAAGCCAAAAGGGCATAACGTGTCTTCCACCTTCTGCTTGAGCTCTGCGACTTGCGGCTCCATAGCACACGCTACACGCTGAGCTTTCTGGGAAGTGGAGTCTCAAAGACAATTGGGCCGTTACTTTCTAGGACAGCTTGGACTCCATTTCCCTGAAGACACCGCGGACAGCAGAGGGACAGAGTTGGATCTGCGCGATGCATTCTGGGATGGGTAGTCCATTTGTGCTTTGGAGCCCATTGCTACAGAATTTAGAGGACTCGGTGTCCCGACAAGCTTCTTGGTGGGGTGTGAAGCACGTATTCTTCCAGGGAAACGTAGGTCGGCCGCCACCTTCTGTGGTTGTCTCTCAAAGAGGCGGACTCAGTTTCCTGGGTGATGTTGCCATACCCAGTCTGAAGTCGTACTTTCTCCGCCTACTGTAGGGTTTGAACCTAGCGGAGGCTGTAACACTAACACAGGTTTGGCTTGACGGCGCCGGGGTGTCGGCGCCTCTTCCAGTCACTTGATATCTGCCTTAGGGTATTTCGATTTCCTCCTGGTTCCCCCAAAACGCCGCTCCCTTGCCTAGTGCCAGAGTTGCAGTTTTGGTCTCGTATTGCATCCTCACTCCCCTATTTCCATTCTAACGCTGTGACCTTTCCTGTGCTGTGCCTTGGGTATACCCTGCTGGGAGAGCAAGGGTAGAAGCCAGGAAGCTAGATCCCTGCCACAGGATATGAGTAGGAACCTGAGCTAGTCTGAGCGGCTCGATTCACTTCTGAAGGCAACTGATGGAAATGTGCCCAGGATGAAGGTGAGGAGGCACAGGTTGTTGTTTGTAGGTGGGACACGTTAAAGGACAGTCAGAGCTCATTGGCCTGTGCAACTATTTCTTTTGTTTGTTTGTTTTGTTTTTGGTACCAGGGATGGAACTCAGGTTCTTGCGCTTGTGAGGCAGGTGCTGGAACCACTGAGCTAAATCCCTTGCCCAGCAACTATTTCTTTTGTAGCAGAGGGTGTATTCCCTGGGAGTCTCCACCATAGGTACTTACTGCCCCTTTCTATTCCCCAGCCCTTTCTCTTTCCAAGAACTGCCTTCTTGCAGTACCCGTACCATTCTCTATTCCTTCCAAATTCCAGTTCTTTCCTGAGCTCTATACCTCCCACACATTCTGTTCTCCCACAGTTCTTTCCCACATAGACCTTGTCCTTGTGCTTTCCTTTTTCCCTCACAGGAGACCTGGCTGGAACCTGGATTTCCTCTTGTCAGTTGCCTATGCAATGAGGAGCCCAAGCTAAACAATCTAGAGATTGTTCCTCTCCGAGAGAGTCTGAGCTGGGCTGAAGCCTATAGACCATCTTCTCTCTGGGATGAGTTACTATTCTCCAATCTCAGCTTCAATCTCAGACTCAGGTAAGGCTTGGAATTGTTGGTTTGTATGAGATGAGAATACCAGGGTTTGAAAACCCTCATGCAGTAGCTCATGTTTTTTTTCTGCTTGGGTAGGTGACTGAAGCACTGAAGCAGGCTGTACAGGACCTGCTGAAACAGCGTCAGCAGCAAATGTACAAGATCAGTGCCCTGGAAGGTATCAGGCCAGTTTTTCTCTTTATACTCACAGTTTTGTTTTGTTTTGATGCTGGGAATTGAACCCAAACCTTTGAACATGCTAAGTATGTGTTCTTCCACCAAGTTATACTCTCAGTCCTTTACACATGTAGCTTTATATGTGTGCACACATTTTTTTTTTTTTGAAATAGGGTCTCACTGTTCAGGCTGGCCTTGAATTCACTATGGAGCTCAGATTTGTCTTGAACTTGAAGTGATCCTCCTGTCTCAGCCTCCCAAGTGCTGGGATTACAGACATGGGTGCCACCGGGCCCAGCTTGTGCACCCACTTTTGTGGCACACCTCTTGTATGCACGTGTCTTAATTTGCAAGTAGCGTCTGGGCTTTTATGTGAAGTTCTCGGGGGCTGACCCTCTACTTGTTCCATTATAGCATCATTAAAGTTGCTTCAGGGGCCCTCAGATGGGCAAGCCCATCTCCTGGAGCAACGCCTGGAAGTGCTGAGAAGGGAACTGCTGGACCCTCAGATTCAGTTAAACAAGTGGGCCCACACCCATGCCCAAATGGAATCAAGACCAGGAGAGTACAATATTACCACTGATCTTCATCAGCGGCTAGAGACTGAGAATGTAATGGGCAAGGCCTTACCTTCTTGAGGCTTTGGAACTCTTGGTGTTCCGGGAGACTGATGGCCTCCTCACTCTGAGTTTGTTGATTAACTCTAGAGTGACACTGCTATCACTCGTGTAGCAATTGCTGTGGAAGGAGTCTGAGATTCTGCAGGAGGAACTGGAGTTGCTGTGAGACCAGATGAGTAAATAAAAAGTTGAGGGTGATTATGGGTTTCCTTGCACCCTTTTCTGGAATTCCTTCTAACAAGTGGGCATAGCTCTCTGTTTGAGCTATTGAAAAGTCTGGTGTAGTATTTCATCTTGCTCTTTGCCTCTGAGGTGAGTTTAGTCTCTCTAGTCAGCTTGGAAGCTTTCCAACAACTGGACTAGGATGTCTCAGTTTTCAGCACCAAGTTGGTCACAAGGTGAGGAAATAGAAGTTGGAGAACAGTCACTTTTCATTCTCTCTCCTCTGTGGGCCAGCACCAGGAGCTGCTACTGAAACATATGGCTGAGGCTCAGCAGGATGAAGTGGACCCTGCAGCTAGAAGGTGGGACCAGGATCAGACCAGTCTATGTATTTCCCAATGGAGGTGCCATCCTTTGTCTGTTCTGTAGATGGACCAGGATACCATCTCCCATCTCCATCTTTACTCATTTCTTCCTTGTGCTGACATCACCTTCTCTCTGAAGCTCATCTTCCCATTTCCTTTTGTTCTAAGCAATGAGAAACTGTCCTTGCCCACATGAGGGTTTCAAGTGTGCTGATTAGGCCAATTATATGGAGAGACTTTCTTCCTATAGGAGGAGAGATTTCGTGTTACTTGGGTTCATGATCTGGCAGATGTTCGAGCAGCAGCAAAGTAGCCAGGATGGCAAAGATCACATCTTGGAGGTTGCCAGAACAGAAGCCCGGTTTGCCCTGTGGGAGCCTGACCTCAGGTCAGGAGGTGTAGGTGCTGGGACAGTGGAGAGGATTTGTCTCCCAGATGTCAAGCACTGGGACCAAGGTTCAGCTATTCTAAATTTGGCCAGAAGGGGTAATCTAACCTCATAAGGGCAACACTGGACATTCATGATCCAGAATCACTGAAATACTTTTATTGTTTGGATGCTAAAGGGAGAAGAGACTGGACTTCTGGCTTCAGGAAGAAGGATACTTCTGTGCTGGGAGGGTCCCCTAGACTCATCATTGCCATCTCTACCTCTGATTCTGTCCTTTTCAGGTCCTCTGTTTATGTCTTCTAAAGTGCCATTGGCCACCACCACCTTTACCATGTCTCCGTCTTCATCTAACTCTAAAGTCAGTCTTCCAGATAGTAACAGTAGCCGGGAACTTTTAAGAAAATTAAGTAGGCATAAGGTCAGGAATCCTGGTTCTGGGGGAAGCTGAATCAGAATGATACCTGGATGCCAGCTGCCAAATGTTTGGCACTGGCTAGATATGTGCCGTCTGACAAACAGGCCTGGAGCCTAGATATGTGCATATCATAGTGCTTGCTGATGGTTTTTCTCTTCCCTTTTCCTTCCTCTTAGATCTCCAGAGGAGCACCCTTTCTAACCTCGAACCTGGCAGCTCTCAGCTCCACGCCCAGTCTTGAGCAAGAAAACCTACTCCTCCAGTACCCCAAGATGCTCTTGAGTGATCTGTGAGGACCTGTGAATAGTATGATAGAGCTATCTTAGCCCACCCTCCCCACAACTTGTTTTTGAGTAGTCTTAACATCCCCTTTGATCATTTGGGAAGTGGCCTTCTAACTTCCTACCTGTCCCTCCTCTCCAGCTGCAATAAAATGGCTTAACATTCCCTGATGTATTCTTTATGAGTGATGATTCACATGAGATGGACTCAGCTGTACTTTTTTTCCCTGTTATATGACTGCTGGCCTCTGTCTTTTTTTTT